CCCTCCCGCATGAGCCCTTGATAGTTTATAAATGGGTATTTTGTCATATCTTGCCCTGTCCGACATCTCCCTTCATCCACTTTTCGGTTGTATGTACCCCAGGGAGGAGGTCACACACAGTTCCATGTAATCGGTTCCCTCTTCCCTACCCATGGGTATCACTTCTTTATAAGACAAACCCTTTACATAAGGTAAATGCAGATTAAACCTTATTTAAAATAAAGGGTAGGATAGGTCTGTGATAATCATTTCTTTTTTAGGAATTAATACCAAACTAGTCTGAAGATGTTGGAGATTGTAAAAGTCCCACTGTTGGAAGGTGCAAGTCGACTCCATTTCTCCCCACTCCATCATTCCCTCACATGTTCCCTCCCATCTCTGAGTTCTGAATATAGATTCAGTATCCCACGGAATTCATGAAAGTTCAAGGGAATGTCTCATGAGCTGGTGGGTGCTGTTCAATCCAAAAGCCAAAGGTCAGGCCAGGGGTAAGCCAGAGACTGGGGCCAGAGGACACTCCTCATTCTTACTGGTGATGAGGTCACACTCGCAGCTTCTCACAGGGCTCATTTTAGACAAAGCAGGATGGTATTGCAGGGACTCCTGTTCACAGTTACTCATGGATGAGTCCTCTCAGTATCTTCCCCACATTTTTATCAGGCCTTTGCAGGGAAAGATAGTTTGGTGTGAGTTGCCAACTGACTAGACAAGCCACGTTAAATAATTCACTAATTAAATCATTCGGCACCCCTGCAAAGTCAAATTGTGAGTATTTTTAATGTATATCTCAATACAAAGTAGGTGACTGAAGTGTCCTCAAGTTCCAAAACCAACCCAAACTCACTGCCATCTAGTCCATGCTGACTCACAGCGACCCTATGGAACAGTGTGGGTTTCGGAGTCTGTAATTCATTATGGGAGCAGCTGGTGGTTTCAAATGTTTGACCTTGCAGGTACCAGCCCAATGCATAAGGCCTGCGTGTTTTATTTAAATAACTGATGGTATATGCATAATTATAATACACCCTAAATGTGGAATCTTTTGGTTAAGTGTTCATAAGATAAAATTGCTCTCTGTTTTATACTTGATCACCATAAAATCTCAGACTTAAAGATACACTTAAGGGAAATATTAGCAAAAGAAGTTTAAAAACTGATTTCTCATAGAGGTTTGAATTTTCTTTAGGTAGTCTTACTAAGCTTGCTTTTCACATTAGTAAATCCACAATCTTTATACTCTGCTTGAAATAGTATTGGACTACTCAGGAACCTAGTCTAGAGGCCAGAATAGTCCCAAGAACAGGATTTCCTTTGTTAAATTATAGTATATTAGAATAATTTGGAAATATTCAAATATCATCTCAAGGCAAATTGCTAAACATTAAAAACCATCTGCTTATTGATATATCAACTTTCCTTTTTCTATATTTTAAAACATGACACAATCCCTATGCTTGTGGTCATCACGTGGTAGTGGTGTTAGGCTCTGGTCCTGGGCCAGCCTCACAATTGTTATGTTTGATCGTACTGGTGAATCGATCTCATTGAGGGTCTTCCTCTTCCACTGGCCTTTTACGTTAAAAGAATGATACTCCTTCTCTAGGAACTGGTCCTTCCTGGTAACTTGTCCATCCTTACTTCCAAGGGGCATTCTGGCAGTCCTTCCTCCAAGAAAGTTGTGTTTGTTCTTCTGGCAGTCCGTGCGTTCAATATTATTTGCCAACACCATAATCCTCTAGTCTTCCTGAGTCATTGCCCGGCTATCGCATGTATATGCGGTGATTAAAATTAGTGTAGCTTCGATCAAACTCACCTTAGTTCTCAAAGTGATATCTTGGCCTTTCAAGAATCAGAGTTGCCCCAAGGCACTCACTATTTGATATTTTGACTGCTACTTCCATGATTGTTGATTGTGGATCCAAATAAAATTAAATCCTTGGCGACCTCAGTTGTTTTTGCTTACTGGGAAATTGTTGATTGGTCCGATTGTGAGGGTTTTTGATTCCTTTATGTTGAGGTGTAGTCTATAGTGAAGGCTGTAGTCTTCGATGTTCATTAGAAAGTGCTTCAATTTCTTTTCCTTTCAGTAAGCATGTTGTGTCACCATATTGCAGGTTAATAAATTAGTATTTGTTCAGTTCTGATGGCCACATTCTTCTTAATAGAGTCCACCTGTAGATTATTTGCTACCACACATTATCTCTGTGTTCTGTTCAAATAAGTGCTCAGTGATCTGTGTGCAAGTTCCATAGAAGTACAATTAAGTTCAATTGGGAATTCAGACTCTTCCCATTGCTAGCCATAGTTTTTTATGAACCGCACAGTCAAATACCTTGTGAACGCAATAAAACACCATCAAACTTCAAGTATTTTTTGCTTTTCACAAGAGCCATCTAACATCGACAATGAATCTGAATCTGGCTTGAATTTCTAGTAGTTCCCTGTCAATGTATTGCTGCAACTGTGTTTGAATTATCTTCAGCAAAATGCTATTGATATGTGATATGAATGATGTTATTAAATATTTTCCAAATTCTCTTGGATCATTTTTCTTTGGAATAGGCATGAATATTAATCTCTTGAAGTCAGCTGGCTTGGTTACTGTCTTCCAAATTTCTCTGCAAAGAAGAGT